GCTTATTCGCGGCGAGCCCTACGACCATTCGGTAAGCGTGGTAGTATTCCATCCATGGCTTCTCATGACGTACCAGATCGACGTGTGGGCCGCTGGCGTCGTGCTCTACGAGCTGCTGACGTCCGAGTCGCCCTTTCAGACCCGGTCCAGCATCCTCCGTGGCGAGTATGAACGCCCGATTACGCGTCGCCGCTCTTGCAAGACCTCCTTCGCGGTATGCTTGCGGTCGCCCCACGTCGGCGCTTGTCGCCAGCCGCGATTGCCGCTCATCCTTGGCTCACGTCGCTGTAGAGAGAAGACGTGTTGGATCGAACATATCTCTTCAATGAATATACTCTCAATGTGCAGTATTGTGTAGACACTGCGTGGCTTTCAGAGACGTGCGCATCAGCTGATCGTATGTAGCAGCCTCGACGGGCGATGTGAGCGAGCGCAAAGTGGATCGCTCATCGAGCTCTCGTCTAGTTGTCTCAAAGCATCGCGATGTGTGCTCCATTATGAGTTCTGTGCCTTGCCTACAGAACCACCTTGTCGCTGTGAATCGTACTAGCCAGACAGCCAAGGAGGCGCTCGCTCAAGATTCGCAAATGCAGCCGTTTGACGACGGGCAGGAGCGGCGTCGGTTGCGAAGCGAGAAACAAATGGACGAGAGAACTAGTGTCGACACCCCAATGATACAACCAAGAACTGCACCGATCGAGAGCACAGACCATGAGGTGGGTGACGTGGGTGCCAGTACCCGATTGCTCGGCACATTTTGCCAAGCTGGTCATCCGGTGTACATCCGGAAGATACGCGAACGATCATTTTGGCGCCAACCACAACGCGATGACAAGCTTCGTGGCAGGCACTACGCGAGTGGAGTTGTTAATTGTAATTGCCACTTTACAGGCATCTATTCTCCCTCTCCCATTGAAAGGAAATGCTGTGACCGTCTGGGCCACACACAATTTTCCGATGCTCTCCACCACCTGCGCTGCATCCATGCAAGTAGGCAAGAATGAAATCCAAGGCAGTGCGATCGCTTAATGGAGCATACTACCACGAAGACGAGGACGCAGTACGTGAGCATCCAGGACGCGACGAACGCACCGTCGGTGACGCCAAGGACCTTCGTCATTTCGCGGGCTTTCGTTTCCTTCTCCTTGACGAGCGCGACCAAGAGACCCGTCACGAGCTGCACGTACGACACGACAAACACAAACGAGAAAAAGTCGCCGGCTGTCGCAAAACACGGCGATCGGGAGCACGAGACCGCCAACGGACGGCTGCAGCGGCACGAGCAGCAAGCGCCGTGCGTCCAGCGAGAGCTTGCGCAAAGTGAGCGACGTGCTCGGCACCGACCCATTTCACGACGGAGCGACCCCATCCACATTGGAACGCACGCTGCAAAGCGCGTGAGACGCGGTAGTAGTGCTCGAGACCTGTTGCGCGCAAACCTACCAGCAACAACGATCAGAGTGGGGCTACCGGTAGGGTAGGGAAGGGTACCACATTTGATTCGCTCTAATATCTCCAGGATCGCGATGCGATTGGCCTAGTCACTTCAAGCAACACTACGGTACATCCCACCGCCGAACCCGCCGAACAGCCATGCTCTGTGCTGCAAACTTTGGACAAAAAGCACGATGGGATTGACACTGATACAAAATATATACTCTCCCTCGGGCGATTGGTCTGCGGTCAACTTTTTTCTTGCGCAGTTGCACCAATGCAGGCCACGAGCGCACTGGTTGAGAGAATCGGCGAGTGGGTTGAGACACGGTTGGTTGTAAAAGCATTGTACTCCAAACTTGGGACCAAAAGCTTGATTGGATTGACACTGATACAAAATATATTCTCTCCCTCGGGCGATTCGTCTGCGGTCGACTTTTTCTTGCGCAGTTGCACCAATGCAGGCCACGAGCGC